GCCTTGACAGGGCACAGCAAAAACCAGCCACGAGGGTGGAGCGTAAGGATGAAAGGTGCGGCGGGCTCGTGCCCTGACGGCCCTGGCCTCGGTTTCTCTGACACTTGCGGTTGACGCAGATGGTGGTCCAGCTGCAAGGGGGTGGTGCAATTCATTTGGTGCCATAGATCTGTGGGGTTGCAAGGCCGCCTTGCCTCAAACGCTCATCCCCGACGCCAGCAGCTCTGACTGTCTCCTGCCCAGCCCAAGTCGGCTCAAAAACGAGCCCCAGACCCCTCCCAGAAGTCCATCCTGACCGAGGCAAATCCAGCCGCCGCTGGAGGTCTGGCTTCCAGACCAAATCTCGGGCCTCAAGCGGCCGCTCGGGACCATCCGTGCCCCCCTTGGAACGCTGTCGGCGAGACGCAGCTGCTGGAACGCAGCCCGAGGCAGGAGAACCCTCGGGAACCAAGGAAAGCGTCCGAAAACCCTCCCACGCACCGGACGGTGTGGCCACCGCGCCGTCTGGAGGCGCGGATTTCTTGGGACGGCACCAGTCTCCAAGACTCCCCTCCCTGGCGCGCGGAGTGCGCCAGAGGCGATCCAAGAAATCAGCGCGGACCTCCGACACATCATGCATATCCAGTTAAACGACGAAAAGAAAGAGGCATAACGACCGTACGCAGCGACGTACGGTCGTACGACCGGCATAGCGACCCACCAACGTGGCACGCCACAGTAAGGAACAACGGTGCTTACGCGCGACCTTACGCGGGCAACTTACGCGCCCATGTCGGCGAAGACGCTCCCAAATTCTTGCGCCGCTCAATTGTTTCTCCTTCGAGCACCGCTGATGTCTCCCGTGATCCGTGAGAGCCTCCTGGAGCCAACGGGGGCTTCAGAAAACAGCCCGGGCGCAGGGGCCCGCCCGCAGACCGTTGGCGGGGGCGGGGGCGGGCCTGGCAGCGCCCCGACTGGCGGCGCGCCTCCTCTCTGAGCTCGCGGGTCAGTCGCAGCACCTCGGGGCAGAGGAGGAGGAGGCAGAGTAGGGGGCAGAGGAGGAGGCAGAGGAGGGGCAGAGGAGGGGCGGAGGAGGAGAGGGAAGCGATTGGACTGGTCAGGCTGAGAGGAGGAAGAGGAGGAAGGAGGAGGAAGAGGAGGGTCGGCATGAGGGGTCGAGGAGGGGAGGAGAAACGGGGCGCTGCTGGTCCTCTTCCCCCCCCCCTGCTGCTGTGTGGCCAGGGAGGCGTGCTCTTCTTCCTCCGCCCCCGCGGGCTAGGGCGTCGCTTGATGGGGGGGGGCGATACATGCGGAGGGAAAGAGGAAGGCGTACTTCTCGGGCCCTGAGGGCCCCGTTCGGGGTTTGGGCCCGAAAGGGCCTCTTGAGGGGTCCTGGAGGGCCCCTTTTCTGCAGCCCCCGCTGCCACCCACCATGACGCGAGGCCCAGCGGGCCCCCGCCCAGTGATCTCCGGCTTCTCGTCGTGGAGGAGGCCAGGCCACTCGACGTCGCGCATCGCGCCGCCGAGGGAGCGTGACGCGCCCTCGCGGGACAAAGAGCAAGGGGCCCGAAGGCTCGATCGAACGATCTTACACGGCAACTCCTGGGCGGTCTTCGCAAGAACGAATCAAGGCTCTTAGGCACGATTGAGGGGCCACTATGCTGGACTACAGCAGGGGCTCGGCCACAAGAAACCTTCCACGAGAAACCCAACCCTGACACCTCAGGTCGTCCATTGAGTTGTGGTGTGGGCACGTCACGCTTTCCGTAGAAAAAATCGATACCCAAGAAACCAAGGGCACCCTGGAGGCAAGCAGGGTGTTGCTTGACATGGGTCTCCTCTGTAGCCCCAATTCCGCCCCAGAATTAGCCAGATTGGCAAACATTCACAACAGTTGAACGGGATTGTGCCAAATTGGCCCGTTCTCGACCACGGAAATACCATATACAAGTAGCGACTCTGAACTGAACCTCTCCCAGAGTTGCATCCTAATCGATCGCTCCCTCGCCTCCCCATCCCCACCTCGAAAAGAAGAAGAAGAAGAAGAAGAAGAAAAAGAAGAAGAAGAGGGGCCCTCCCGTATGGATCATCCTTCGCGCCCTCGCAGAAGTTCTCCGCGTCTTCGGGGAGGGGCCGAGGAACTTCGCAGAAGGCCCGGGGCCTTCCGAGCGTCCTGTGCAGGCCAGCCCCTCCCCGCCTCCCCCCCGGGCGCGCCGCCGAGGCAAACAAATGAGCTGGACTGCGTCGTGAGCTCGGGTCGGACACAACTCGGACCGCCCACGAGTCGTCCCCGATCGAACCGAGATCGGACCCCCGCGCCCAGCTCTGGCGGGCCCCGGCCGATGCCGACGAATCGAACCCGAAGTGTCCGCGTCTTGATGTTTCAACACGGGGTCCCCAGGGATACCGACCCCCTCCCCAGGGCCGGGTCTTCATCCCGAGTCGTTTTGGGCGGTTCCGGGGCCTGGCGAGGGCTCCCTGAGTTCGAAAATGGTCGCAACACGTCCGTCGTGACTCTGACCACGGCGTGAGCATGTCTGGGACCGACTCGAACAGAAAAAACTGATCGCGGCCCCAACCAGCAGATCGAACCGCACGAAATCGGATCGCAGGCGGCCCTGCACAAGAAAATAATGATGTCATGATGACATTGGCTCAAGATGCGACCCAGGATCCCCAAAGTATCCGGCGGCCCCCGTTTCCGCAGCCCTTGTGGGACTTGAGGGAATCAGGGGGATCCTGGAAATCGTGGAACCTGTTAGTAATGCAGGATGATGATGAAGAAATTACTAGACGTCATGTTCACGCGGAAGCGCCCAAGATGGTCAGTAGAAAAACGGGCCGCCGGCCGGGAAACTACTTTGGAAACGTTCCCTCCCGCCAGACTCGGTCGAGCGCCTGGACAGTCGACGTACCAGACGGAGCCGAAGCGAAGAGGAAGCCGAAGATTCGGGAACGATTTTGTCAATCGTTCCCCCCACACATTGTTTGCTCATCAGTCTTCACCTTACATTACCGTTTTGGACGGCCGAAAAGCGTACAGAAAATACGATGCCCAACAGAGAACCATGTCCCAAACCGACAGAGGCCGCTGCTGTTCAGGCGGCCTTGTGTCTCAAATGGACAACAACCACGGCTACACCGACAGCAAACCCTGTTCAATACGAACAAGAATGCTGTCGGCCTTTGTGTACAAGAAGAACAACTCCATCAGCACAAACTTTTGGTGGTCCGCGAGGATTTTTTGGGGATCTGCGCCAGGACCCCCCTCCCTGGCGCGCGGAGCGCGCGCCAGGGGCGGCGCAGGAGGCGCCGCCGAGGGGGGCCCAGCGCGTATCCACGAAATCCGCGCGCAGCGGCACAAGTTTGTGTTTATGGCGTTTTTTCCTCCTCGACTTGTACCCCTGCTTCCGCACCTTCTATTCTTCCTCGATGCGCACCCTTCTTCCTCGATGTGCGTTTTTTTTTCCTCGATGCTTGCCCTTGTTCTATATTCCTCGATGTCTTCGATTTATACCGATGCTTCCGCACCCCCTGGCGATCGCCCCCCTCCCGACCGTGACCTCGATCGCTCCCTGGCGCCGCCCCCCCCCGGAAAACGGCGGCCGCCCATGGACCGGACCACGACCTTTCGCGGAGCGGCGGCTCTCTTCGCTCCCCAGAGGGTTTTGACCTCGACCCAGAGGAGCCCTCCTCCCTCCTCCCTCCCTCCCCCCCTCCTCCCTCCTCCCTCGTGCAGGGGGTTGACCCCAGAGGAGGCAGTGGTGGGAGCGGGGGGCTACGACTCTGGCTCTTTTCGGTTCGATCCGGTCCCAAACATCACCCACCCACCAAACCACCCCAAACCAACCCGAAGGACTCAATGAGGTCTCCATTTCCAGTGGGGGGGCGGTCGAGGAACATTGAAAAAACACATTTGGAACCCGTACCCCCCTTAACCCGAAATGCGGGTCTTCGGGTTGGGTTGGGGTGATCTGGTAGGTCGTCAAAACATGCCTGTGCAGCGAAAGCACCGCGCGGAAGATGCTTGCCAATTTTCGGTCTCCTTGGGCCCTCGCTGGGCCACAGGAGCACCAATAAATGGCTCGGACTGGAAAGCTGGCCCGCCCTGAGAGAAAGGTCGGGAATACTGGGGGGCCGCATTGAAAAATCAAGCCATTGGAGATCTGGAGTTCGATTCACCGGCGCAGCAACGGTCAACATCGAATCGATAAGTCGGATCGGATGGATCGGGTCGCATCGGCTCGGAGTCCAACATCGTATCGGATCGGACGCGCCAAACTGCACAACAACGCCATACGGGCATCGGGCGCCATCGGATCGTCGGAATCTCGGGAACGAATCGTATCGGGCCGACCGGGATCGATACCTAACCAGATCCATCGGATCGAAATAAATCCTGACAGGTGGGCAATCTGAGCGCAGGGGATGAGATGGATGAGGGAGGGTGAGAGTAGCTGAGGACGGGGTACATTCCCAACAGGAAGGCCGCGACCTGTCTCACTCTCCCGCCACAAGAGTGGCACCCGATTCTCAGCATAGGCAGCGCTTACCATGCGATGGATGGCCATATGGGAAATCAATACAGGCACCGAACGCGCCACTTTTTCGCCAAGGACGGTGGGCCAACGCGCACCGAGAATACTCTATGCCACCCACCGTCCGTTTCAGAAGTTCGTGCAACAAGTACTGGCGGGACGGTGCCCTTCCCGCATAGTGACTGCGCGCAAAATCCAAGCCGACCTCCTTCTGGCCTCGATGGCGTGAAAACGCAGAGCGGACAATCTGCTCCCACCCCAGCCAAAAATTACAATATGCTGGGAACGAGGTGGGCGCAAATGGTCAAGTTCTTTGCTGCACCATGCCCCCGTTGCACTGTTGCCTAACCGGGCCTGTCTGGAGGGTCTTTGCTGTCTGCCCCAACACCTGCCACAATGCAAACGCCCTGGAACGGCGTCCCTCCCGTGCCGTTCTCGCAATTCCCCAAACCGTGATTGCACCTGGGTGTTGTCACTTCTCCCATCCGGTCCGGGGTCTGCGTGCCGGCCTGGTGGCTATGATGCCACCGTCGCCGCCCCCCCGCCGCCTCGTCGCCGTCCGTCGTCTGGGCCTCTGTCGGTCTATGTCGCCGCCGTCGCCGCCTCGTCGCCCCCCAGGTCGCCGCCTCGTCGCCGCCCACGAAAATTGCACGACATAGATTGCACCACGTAGATTGGCCCACTCAGGTTGCACTACAGAGGTCCTTTTTGTCCAATGGAGCATTCGGATATTGCCCCCCCTCCCACACTGACGCCTCACATGTTTGAATTGTGCTGCGCATCTAATCAAAACCCATAGCCCATGCGAAACACGAACCCGTACCATCCCAAGCAGACGCTTATCGACCGACCCCCTTTCATCCTCAGCAGAAGAAACTATACGCGCGCACTCCTTCATCAACAGATCACCTCCTTTCAAAATCCCGTGGCAAACACGGGGCGACGTGCACACGCGCGCGTCGTTGCACGCGCATGCCGGCATCCTTCAAACATCGCTTGTTTCGTAAGGGATTCAAAACCGAGTGTCCCGAATATCCACACATAAACATATTTATGTACAAATAGACAATGATGGCTTCACAACACGAGTATGACCAACAAGTGCGCTCGCGCTTTTGTGAAATCTCAAATGAAACCATGTGTCAACTGTGTCATCACATGCTACCAAACGTGCCTCTCGCGTGCGCATGCCGAAATTTGTCGAACGCCCGTGCGCGTGCGCTGTCGTACTTTTTTGCAAACCATGGGAAGGAGTGCTGCCAGCCTGGCGCTGGGGCCCTCGTGCTCACGTCGACACACACCCTAGCTCTTTACCCACTCGTGGACGGCCCCGACGTTGCCCTATCCCGAATGCCATCAGATACCTTCAAAATCATGGGGTCAGAAAAGACGGGGTCGGGAAATTCGCGCGCATTGCCGGTGATGCGCCGGCGACCTGCGCGTGGAGGAGATCGGGCTCCACATCGAGCCGCATCGTCGATGCATCGGCGATGCGGCGCGACCCTGCACCACCCACCCGGACCCCATTTGGGAGGCCCGGGTGGACCCACCCCAAAGGCCACTCCGGCGAACGGCCACCCCACCAGCTTTCGGGTCATGACTCGGGTCTTGGGTGGTCGCTCGGGACGGGTCGGGACCCCAGGAACGCCCTCGGCGAGGCGCAGCTGCTGGAGGGCACCCAGAGGCAGAAACGCCTCCAGGGACCGACGAGGACGCTGGGCGGGGGACCTCCATCGGGGGCGGCGCGCAAACATGGACTAGCGATCCATGGACTTGGCGCGCGGTCGCCAAATCCATGGATCGGGGGAGGTGCCCTCCCCAAACTGCGGCCAATGCCGCCTCGCACGGCGGCGGAAATTCGCGATTCCCATGGAAACGGGACCCGCCGCTGATCCACGCCCCCTCAATCCATGTTTGCGATCGCCTACTCCGGGAGCCTCCGGGAGAACCTGCTCAGACTTTACCTGGGAGGCCAGGGGCCGTCCCCTGTCTTCGACGCTGGGCGGGCGACGCCGAGCGAGGCGGGCGGGGCCGGGCGGCCCGGGAGCTTGCGGCGCCTCCGCGCCGCAGGCGTCGCCCTCCAGCTGCAGCCCCTCCGAAGCCTGGGGCGCGCAGCGTGCGGTCGAAGCACTGGGAGGGGCTCGAGGCATACAGCCAGGCGTTGCTCGGCCAAGGAGGCCTCCTCCTCCTCCTCCTCCTGCTCCCTGCCTCCCTCCCTCCCTCCCCTTTCGCTCCTCCCCCTTATCCTCCTCGTTCTCCTCCGTCTCCTCCTCCGTCTCCTCCTCCATCCTCCATCCCCACCCCCTCCGCCCTCTTTCTTCTCCTTCCCCCGTATGGATGCCCAGCCTCCCAGCACGTGGGACGCTGGAGCGCTTATACACCGAACTGCTTCGCCGAGATCCCTGGCTCCTCGGCCGTCCAAACGAGGGGGTGTGTACCTCGAGCCCCTCCGAGGTTGGCCACTGGGACGTGGACCAGGAACGTGGGTCCCTTCGCCCAAGGCGCCCTCTAGCCGTGGGCTCTTGGGGCGACTGTTGCAAATTTTGTCTGAACGCTCATGCAAGTCGAGTACCAACTACTGAACAGCACAGCATACATATAAAGCAGTTCCCCTCGATACTGGGATCCACTTTTGATCTAAAACCGACCAACAGTCACAATCAGTTTAAAGAGTTTCCCTTATTTCCCGTTTCTCACACTTCCCTCGTTATGAACCCTCCATCACGTCGACCCGCAACCAACTTGGACCAATGAGCCGCCCCCCCCACCATCCCTTTAAACTTCGCCTGACGAAGGGCCAAACCATACGCAGTTGCGAATACCGCAGTGTGGGTACAGGTTTCGGTTTAGCTCCCTATGGGGCCATGTGGACACCGCCACTGGGGCCTTCGGTGGAGCTCCCTATTGGCCCACGAAGCGCTGTCCTGGATGGGGGAGACGTATGCGAACTGCGCCAATGGGACCTACGCTGGGGCTCCTTATGGGGCCACGAAGCGCTGTCATGGGCGGGGGAGACGCATGCGAACTGCGCTGCGCCACCCACGCCTTCGGTGGAGCTGCCTATGGAGCCACTGAACTTTGTCCTGGATGGGGGGAGACGCATGCGAACAGCGCCACTGGGACCCTCGGTGGAGCTCCCTCTGTCGCCACGAAGCGCTGTCCTGGGTGGCGTTGACGCATGCGGCCTGCGCCACTGGAGCCTTCGGTGGAGCTCCCTATGGGGCCACGAAACGCTGTCCTGGGTGGCGTTGACGCATGCGGCCTGTGCCACTGGAGCCTTCGGAGGAGCTCCCTATGGGGCCACGAAGCGCTGTCCTGGGTGGGGGAGACGCATGCGGCCTGTGCCACTGGACCCTTCGGTGGAGCTCTCTATGGGGCCATGAAGCGCTGTCATGGGTGGGGGGGGAGCATGCGAACGGCGCCACTGGAGCCTTCGGTGGAACTCCCAGAAGGCCACGAAACGCTGTCATGGGTGGCGGTGACGCATGCGGACCCTGCCACTAGGGCCTGCGGTGGAGCTCCCTGTGGGACCACGAAGCGTGTCAGGGGTGTGCCTACATGGGTGGCGGTGACGCATGCGGACTCTGCCACTGGGGCCTTCGGTGGAGCTCCTTATGGGGCCATGCAACGCTGTCCTGGATGGCGCTGACACATGCGCACAGTGCCACTGAAGCATTCGGTGAAGCTCCATATGGGGCCACGAAGCGCTGTCGCGGGCGGCGTTGACGCATGCGGCCTGTGCCACTGGGGCCGTCGGTAAAGCTCCCTATGGGGCCACGAAGCGCTGTCCTGGGTGGCGTTGACGCATGCAGCCTGCGCCACTGGAGCCTTCCATTTGGGAAACGAAGCGCTGTCCTGGGTGGCGTTGACGCATGCGGCCTGTGCCACTGGGGCCTTCGGTGAAGCTCCCTATGGGGCCACGAAGCGCTGTCCTGGGTGGCGTTGGCGCATGCGGCCTGTGTCACTGGAGCCTTCGGTGGAGCTCCCTATGGGGCCACGAAACGCTGTCCTGGGTGGCGTTGACGCATGCGGCCTGTGCCACTGGACCCTTCGGTGGAGCTCCCTGTGGGGCCACGAAGCGCTGTCCTGGGTGGCGTTGACGCATGCGGACGGTACCACTGGAGCCTTCGGTGGAGCTCCATGTTGGGCCACGAAGCGCTCTCCTGGGTGGCGTTGACGCATACTGGAGCCTTCGGTGGAGCTCCCTGTGGGGCCACGAAAACGTGCGATGGGGTGTGCCGAAATGGTGGACATGCGGAGAGCAGAGGCAAGGAGGGGGAGGAGGGGGGAGGGGGCAGCGAGAGGAGGAGGAGGAGCAGGAGGAGCAGGAGGAGGAGGAGGAGGAGGAGGAGGAGGAGGAGGAGGAGGAGGAGAAGTAACGCGGGGCGCTGTCTCTTTCAAAACGAGGACCAACACCACAGGATGGTTGGAAAAACAATGCAAAGTGCACATTCCCTCCAAATCTGGCGCATGCGCGGGCGCTGATCGATGGGAGATCGATCGAGCCAGGGCTCGATCGGTGGGAGAGATCTTCTCCGAGACGAGGGACACGTGAGCGACGGGAAAAAAGGGTCTTACGCGAGATGACGTAGCGACCTTACGCGGTGGCTTACGCGGCCGCCCGCTCGGCACGTTACATCGGCGACGAGGTCGCCCAGGCGCGGGTTTCCGCGGGCAGCTGACGCGCCAATGCCGGTGAAGACGACCCCGTGTTTTCGCCGTCGCTCACGTGAGCCCCCTGCCCCGCGTGGACTGCTTGCAGCAGCCATGGCCCACAGGCGCAGAAAGGAGCTCGGCACCGCCGCAGCCGCCGCAGGGGAGCGAGGAAGGGCCCTCCTGGTGGTGCGCGGCCCCCGTGCGAGGCGGGGACGTTTCCATAAACCACCGCCTGGAGGGTCGACTTGCGGTGACCTCGGCAGGCGGCGGACGTGACCATGGCTATGAATGCCCCCCCAGCCCCGGGCCCGAGCAGACTCGCATCCACCGCCTGCCGAGGCCCCCCGAAGAACGCTCCCCCCGGCGGTGGGACATGAACCACGGATACTCGAGGGCGCGCAAACATGGATTAGCGATCCATGGGTTTGGCGCGCGGTCGCCAACTCCATGGATCGGGGGAAGTGTCTCCCCCCCAAGTGAGGCCGGTGCCGCCTAGCTCGGCGGCTGAAACTGCGATTTCCCATGGAAGCGGGACCCGTCGCTGATCCACGCCCCCTCAATCCATGTTTGCGATCGCCTGAGATATATCGGTCCCCCCAGGGCCGGCGTGTTTGCCCCCCGACCCCACCCCCGGGGCCCGACTGATACTCGCATCCACGGCCTGCCGAGGCTCCCGAAGGACGACCACCCCCCAGGCGGTGGCCAGGAACAGGAAATCTCAACCTCGGACCCTGTGCTGCGGCGCCCCGCCCGAGAGACACGCACGATCTCGAGCCCGCTCGGGCCGGCACTGCTCAAGGGGCTCTGGGACACAAAAACAAATATATATATATATATATATATATATATACAAATCCCGGGATTCACCACATGTTCCCATATTTTCTTCGTTTTCGTCTTCCCCCCCACGCCCGAAATTTTCTCATCTTTTCGTGGGAATCGACTATCACTTGTGTCTGTGTGTTTTTCCCCTCCTGAACTGCGGAGACCAGAGAGCTGCCAGCGGCCGCGGTTGTCGCCCCTCCTCTTCTGGAGCTCCTCGAGCCTGAAGCCCGATCCCCGCACCACAGCCCACACACCTGGACATCATCGAGGAAGGTCTGCAGACCCCCCCCCACCAACAGTGGCAACTGATTGCCCTTTCGACGCCCCTCTTGACGGAATCGGGCCCCGCCAAGACTGGAACAAGATTATTTCTCCGCGGCACCCGCCGACAGGAGGAGAAGGAGGAGGAGGAGGAAGAGGAGGAGGGGCGGGAGGAGGAAAAGGAGGAGGAAAAGGAGGCGGAGGAGGAGGAGGAGGAGGAGGAGGAGGAGGAGGAGGAGAGGAGGAGGAGGAGGAGGGAGGAGGGAGGAGGGAGGGGGGGGGAGGTCATTCCCCGCCAAGAAAAACAGGGGGAGGATCCTGAAACCTGAAGATCTTTTTAGGTCATCTGGCAGTGGAGTGTCTGTCCTCTGGGCAGCACTCCGAGGCGGACGTCCCCACGGGCGCACGCAGAAGAGAGAGCGAACACAGCGCCCAGAGCCTGACCCTCTGCGTGGCCCTCTCGCGAGTCTCCTCGTGGCCACTACCCTGGTTCCTATGGCGGCGCGCAAAAGGGGGGCAGGGGGAAGGGGGGAAGGCTTCTTAGAAAGAGGCTGCTTCTTAGAAGGCGCCGGCCTTCCATCTACAGAAAAGGCCCGCGCCTCCTAAACAAGAAGGGGTGCTTCTAAGAAGCCTTCCCTCCTCCCCCTACCCACCTCTGCGCGTGGCGGATCCTTCTGGGCCCCTCCGTCGTCCAGTTCGTGTGTTCGTCGCGGCGCATTCGCCAGTGGAGCTCGCTAGAGGGATCGTCGTCGTCGTCGGCCTGTGCTTCGTTATGGCGACCACTCGCGACGAGCGCCCAGCGCTCCCTGGTGAGGCCACGGCAGCGCCGGCGTCGGCTGGCGGGCCTCGGACGCCAGCCGCCGCCGGCGCCTGTGCTCGGCGGCCTCTGCGAGCAGCTCCTCCGAGCGGCGCCTGCCGGGGGTAGGCGGAATCGGCCAGCACTGGCCAGGGAAGTCGGCTCGCATCGGGCTGCTCCTCCACCTCCCTCCTCCTCCTCGCTCCCTCGCCGCCTCCTCCTCCTCCTCCTCGCTGTCCTTCTTCCTCCTCCTCATCATCATTCACCCTCTCCGCCCCCTCTTCCTCCTCCTCACTCTCCCGCCGCCTCCTCCTCCTCCTCCGCCTCCTCCTCCTCGTATCCTCGCTCTCGCTTCTGGATGAGTCTGGCTGGACGAGAGAGGAAGAATGACAGAAGCAGGGCCACTTTCGCTAATTTTTACTGGTCCCTGGGGCCCAATGACGGGCACGGGAGTCCGAGACCTAGGGAAACAACGGAACTTTAACAAATAAGATCGCCGGAGATTGGAGAGACATTCTCCGATGCGATCCGACAGTCCGATCTGGCGATTGAGTGCCAGCGGCCGCAGGCAGTGCAGTCGGCCCTGGATAGTAGGTTGACCTTGACAGCAGGTGTCCTGTGCATCAGGATTCATGCCTCATTGCATTCCTATGGCAATGTGGTCCTCGGAAAGGTTTTGTGCCCTCCTCCGTGTCCTCTCCAATCGAGCTCGACTGTAGGAGAAGCAGGAGGGAGAGGAGGACGGAGGAGGAGGCGAGGAGGAGGAGGAGGAGGAGGAGGAGGAGAGGAAGGAAGAGGGAGATTGGCGCTACGGAAGATGTCTGCGCTGCTGAGAGGGGGAACGAATGAGGGGCAACGAAGTGCGGGGCCAACTCGGGGGTGGGGGGGGAAATCGAGCTTGAAAAAACGATACATCGATCAGCGATAGATCGGCGATTTGCCGCCGATGGTAAAACTGGCCGTTCCTGGGCGGGGTGGGCTGTCACAGGAGATGAGCGGGCGATTGAGAACAAAGGAGGGGAGCCGGCTCAGGGGGGTAGGGTTAGGTCGGGCCTGTCCCCCTACAGGGGGATTTTTTTATGAAAAACAAAACATAGTCAAACAATCCTTCCAAAATGCTCACAAATGATCGGAAAATCGTACCCATACAATTGTATGACTATGTTTGAATACTCCTCCTGTAGAGGGACAGGCCCGACTTACGGTTAGGTGGGGAACACTGTCCCAGACTCGGCGACACGTCGGGGCCCGCACCTGTCGGCACCCGATCGGACGAGCGGATCCGACAGGAGCGTACCTCGGACGCGGGAGGCTCAACAAAAAGAGGACGCGCTTAGCTCCGGATGCGTTCCGGGATGCCACGAGCATCTAGTGGCCCTCGCCCCTGGAGCCCGCGCGGAGGAGTCGCAGGGAGATCAACAGAAAAAAAACAGGACACCTCGAAACTGGTGAGTAGGGACCAAGACCCCGATTGGCGATGAATGGGCGATAGGGGCTTGATGTTTTCCCCCGTGTCGGCGCCCGTGATGGCGTGCAAGGTGGATCTCAGATTGGTCGGACAATCAGGTCGAGTAAATGTGCCTCGGATCTGAGAAGCCCCGACAGGACGTGCGTGCCCAGCCAAGTACACGATCATGCATGGTCATCCCCATCGAATTCGCGAGGCCGCCCTCATGCCACGACCTCTCGCGTATTGCGCGCTCCCCGAACCCAGTTGATTCAAGTGCGCGTATACGCCATCGCTTCCACCTGAGGACTGGGCTGCGTCGGCACGGAGCTGAGGTCGAATCGCCAGACGCAAGACAACGACACGCAAGCATCGGACCGCATCGAATCGCCAACATCTCAGAATGAGAGACTGGGGCCGTCGAGAAACGACTCGTGAGGAGAAACCTGTCCCAGGGGAGCGCCCCTCGAGAGAGAGAGAGAAAGGGAACGACTACCAAGGCACGACAGCAATTCACCATAACATATACGTGTCCTCACAAGGTGGCACCATGACCAAGACTAAGCAGGTGTGCCGTGCATGTTTGCGTGCGCGTGCGTACGGCCAGGCTACTACCAGAAGCACCGCCAAAGAAGGAGCGAGGCTCCATTTCCGCCACCCCCCCAGAGCAACAACAAAAACGCCCAGGTGGCACGAGGAGCGCTTGAGGAACAACCACGGCAAGACCCCAAGGACAGCGAGCCCCTTCCGAACCAGGGCTGCTCCCTATTCCAACACCTTGGCTTCGCGGGCATCGCGCGACCATAAAACAGAAGCTCGGATTAGGTCGGGCATGCCCCCCTACGGGCGGATTCCGCAAGAAAATTTAAGAATTATCCCAAAATGCTACAAATTTACTTATACCAAAAAGAAACCCCAATCAGTGGATGGTTTTCGCTGAGGAGATCGACCGGGAACCCGGGAGCCCAAGAACCCAAAACCCGATATCGACCCGGAACGAATAACCGGGAACCCGGGAACCCGGAACCCGGGAACACGGGGACCCAGCCTACCACCAAAATCGGCGGGAAACTTTCTCCAAATCTTTCAACCTCCGCTAGGGCCCCTTCAGTGCAAGCGCTGATGGGGGAAGCAAGCGTAGGCCGCACATCGCCCCTAATAATGTGTTGGAATATGCCTCCTGCAGTGGGCCAGGCCCGACGTGAAACCCTGGGGCCGATGCCCGCGAGCGGGCGTGCCCGTGGCCACAGCCGGCCTCGGCCACGAGCAGGTGCACCGACCCAAAGATCTCAGGTCGAAAAGAGGCCCCAGCATCAGATCCTCGCAAGAGGAGGACGAGGAGGAGGTCGCAAGAGGCCCCCCCGAACAAAAAGCCGAAAAGGCCAGAAAAGCCAGGGCCTTCTCAAAAGGCCCCCCAAAAAAGCAAAAAAATAAAGAGCAGAAAAGTCATCCCCGTAAGAACCACTCGACGCCGTTTACTAAACGCCCCCACCGCAGGAATCGAACAGGGCAGGGCTGTTTAGCAAACGCCCAAAATCGTTTAGTAAATGCCAATTGTCCAGTCCGGGTGGTTCTTCCTCCCTTGAATCAGATCCTCCCAAGAGGCCCCCCAGCACAAAACCGAAAAGGCCAGAAAAGCCAGGGTCCCTCTTTCAGCGTCTTGACTCAAGGTATCCTCTCCCTGCCTGCCTCTCGCACTGCCTCGTCCCTCGCCTGGTCTCCTACCCCATCTGCTTCAGGCTCGCGGCCAGAGGACTACACACGCACGTGCTACAGCACGCCCCTACGGAACGATAGGAATCGAGGGTCCAGGGGCACATCCTTCGTCGACCCTGAGCTTCGCAAAGTGATGCAAGGCTCTGCGGCCCCCTCGGGATAAGGATTTTGGCACGCGCTGGCGTTGGCGTTGGCAGGCCTGTTGGCGTTGGCAGGCCGATGTCTGATTTGGTGTGCCGCATGGGTGATCTACATTCTGGGTTCGGGTCTACGCCTCACCCGGCAAACCCAGGCCGCGCCAGCGCGCGCCCCGTCACAAGTTGGTGCAGTTGGTCTGCTGGCCCCGCTCGTGGTGCACAGCGCTGGCGGAGGAGAAGTGCGCGCGAACAGTCGGTCAACTTGTTCTCAGGAAGGAAAACCAGCATCGGAGAAGGGCCAATTGAGGTAACGGCGGCTCTCCCGCTCGGCCAAGATCCTCTGAATCGGTCCCAGGATCCCTCCAGGGTCCATCCTGGACCCGTTCTTCGAAGCGGATCCAGCCGTGGCGACGATGATCCTCGCATGAGGCCCAAAAAGGACGATCACGGTCGCGAGTGGCTCTCCCCCGCACAAATACAGCTGCAACGTGAACGAACGTTTGGGGTCCGCGCGACTTTCTGAGTCATGTTCGGGGTGGACTTGCTCAGGGGGGGGGAAACATCGTCCTGGAATCGGCGTCTGGCCCCGATAGCGAAACCGCACGCTCCTGGGCGGGGTTGGCTACCAGGCCCGTATCGGCAATGAATGAACGATTGGAGCTCGAGGCATCCCCTCCTGAGCGTCCCTCGACACAGAAACAAATGCATAACCATAAACTTTCGGAGCTCCGCGCGTATTTCCTGGATCTGCGCTGGAAACCCACACACTGGCGCGCGGAGCGCGCCAGGGGCGGCACCAGAGACGCCGCCAAGGGGATCCGGCGCCGATCCCATGAACCCGCCCTGAGCTCCGAAAGTTCCTGCTCGTGCAACTGTTCTGTTTGCGATGCTTCCATCTCCAGGGCCCAGCGCCGATCCGAGAGACCGCGTGGAGCTCCGGAAGTGTACGTTTATGCAACTTCTTCGGCGAACGTGGCCCCTGAGGAGGAGGCGGGGAACGGAAGGAGGAGGAGGAGGAGGAGGAGGAGGAGGAGAAGGCATCGCCGACGGAAGAGGCCTGCGCGGGCCTCCTGCAAGCCTGTGCCCATGTCGCCTGCCGCTATTGCGTGGCCCAAGCCCTTGGTAGCTCGCGAGCCGCTCGTTGCTGGCGGTCTGAATAGAGGCATCCCGTCCGAGTAGATTAGGTCGCGCATCGCGCCGCATCGCCGATGCATGGGTGATGCATCGGTGATGCATCAGCGACGTCGGCGATGCATCGGCGTAGAGAAAAACTGGCTCCACATCGAGCGGCGCGATGACTCCCATATATCCGGGCCGCATCTGGCAGGCCTGGGGCCAAAAACCTCGGGGGCTCGTGAGCTGTTCGGGCTGGCTGACGGAATGGTGAGCTGTACGGGCTGCTCGGGTGCCGCTCTTCGACGACGATCGGAGCATCGGGCAGCGGTCGGCAGCCGCGGCGAGGGCAGCGGCGACGGCTGGGAGTGGGGACAGCGCCGCTGGTTGCGGCGCTTTCTACCGCGCACGACGCAGCTGAGGGCGGGTCCCGCCGCGGTGCTGTGGGGCGGCACGGCGTCACGGAGGCCCTCTCTGCTTGGCAGATGGTCTGCATATGGAGGAACAACCAAGGTGCACAGGCGCAAACTTCGGGAAAGGTCCACGCGGACGCGCGGACGCGGGCAAGATTTGTATCCGTCTACACGGCGTCTCGGATTTTTGAGCAAGGAATGGCAAAAGCCCGAGACGCGGTGGACATGGACGGTCATCTGGCCTTCCGAGGCCATATTTGGTGTCGGTATCGCGTGCGTCACGCGCTTCTGGGAATGGGAGCCCCACGGTCCGAGACAAAATGGGCCGCGGATGTAAATCCTGCCCGCACGCGCGGATCTCCTGGACCTGCGCGGGCCCTATCCGAGAACTCCGCGCGGACCTTCGAAGGTCTGTGCCTGTGCCTCTGCTTGTTTGCCGGCTCCGATGACTGCGGATTGAAAACCGACGTGGCGCCCGTTTTGGGGGGGAGATCGCCGCATCGGACCTACCTCGGGGGTTGCTAAGGGTGTCCCTTGGCTTAGGTCGGGCATGTCCTCCTACAGGCGGATGCTGGACGGGAAAAATAATTTCAAAAAGTAAGCAAAATAGTCAAAACAAATGATAGAAAAATCGTCTCCTGACCTTTAAAAAATTAATATTGCTCCTGTAGAGGGACATGCCCGACTTAACCCTTGGCCCAGGGCGGCGCCAAAATTTCCAGGGAGGCCCCGTGGCCTCCCGGAGCACCTTCCCCACGAGGCTCGGAAGGCCCCGAGGCTCCAAAATTTGGCGGCGAGCAGGAAGGGGGTAGGGGGAGGGGGGACGGCTTCTCAGAAGGAGGCCGGTTCTTAAAGGCACTGGCCTTATATATCTACAGACAAGGCCCGCGCCTTCTAAGGAGCAGGGGTGCTTCTAAGGAGCCTTCCCCCCTCCCCCTACCCCCCTCTGCGCGTGGCTGGAAAATGGAACATGAAGCTGGGGACACCCTGGGCCATCGACACCTTTGGCAACCCTCAACTACTACCACATGCCTTCGCTACTGAGGAGCCGCGCTCCCTCGAGCACGCGAAGGCCTCCAACATGGCAGCCCAAACCTGTTGATGAACACATGTGATCTGCACTGACCCCACGACAACTGCGATACGCAGGCTCGCGGGCGACGCACCATGGTCACATGCTGATCTGTATCAGACAACGGATAGCGCAAAACATGCCAACGGGTGCACCCCAAGCGATCCGAACCGCAACCTCGGAGAATTCATGTATGTGCCTGCTACGGGCAATTGTACCTCGCTGGCGCTGGACGCAGGGGCCCACATTTAGGGGAGCTTACCTGAGATGCTCTCGCAGGTCCCCTGGCGGTTCCTCTTCTCAGCTTGCAACCTGTGCGAAAGCATCACGAGAACTGCCCCCTTGTGCTCATATCCTCGGGCTGTGCCCAGCTCCGGGAGGAGCTTGCAGAACACATCGAGTTGTCTGGTCGGCCAAGGGACTTGGTGTATGGACGCCCCAGCTTTGCAGGGGCCCTGGGACACACAAATAAATAGACACGAATAACAGGATTCCCATATATTTTCGCATACTTTCTAAGTATTCGTCTTTCCCCCCCACTTCCCATCTTTTCCCATATTTTCCAGGGAATCGACGAGTAACTGTGTCTGTGTGTTTTCCCCTCCTGGAGCTTCACAAGCTGTGGGATTTTGAAGGTCTGCGGTCAGGACCTTGTGCTTGGCGTGTTTCGGCAGCGGCCCCAGCGAAACGCTATGCACTGCGATCTGAGATTGTCTCAGGGGGCAGGAGAAGGCTCGGGCTTGGGAAATGGGAAACAATCAGCATGTCACACGGAAACGTGGTTGGGGTAACCAACAGGTACCGATACGGTTGCTCCTCGGACCTCTCCCGGGGTGCGTTCTAACCAAAATGTCGATGCGAATCCAGCCGTGGCGACGAGGGCCTCCCGGGAGGCCCCAAAAGACGAACACGAGGCAAGGGGTATCGGTATCGGTGCCTCTCCTTCCTCTGAATGGTCGGCTAGAGCCGGCGACGCGGCACGCTGAGCAGAAGCTCCTCACCGAATACATAAGGTTCCCTCGCCGAGTTGGTTCGCTCCTCGGCCGACCACGCCAAGAACTCACAGAGAAGACACCACGCAGACCAGCGCTGTGTGCCCGTGATCCACTGCTGACGCCAGATGTATGGATGAGCTGAAGCAGCGCGACAATACCGACTCATGGCCACCACTGCGATTAACTTCCAACTACTGCGTGGGCGGCCAACCACCGCAAGACCTAGTTACAAGCACGTGCTGCAAGAGCCATACGACGGCTCCGCTTAAACCATGATTGTGTAAGTATTGTTTGGCGGTGCGAAGTGCAACGCGTGACGCCGTACATTGCCGGCGCGTCGGCTACATAGAGCACATGCGTCTCAAACAGTTCCTGCCAGAGAGGAACAAACAACGAAGACATGAACAGAACTATCAGGAGGTCTGCACGGGCTTCTTGGGTAGGCGCTGGACCCCCCTCCCCTGGCGCGCGGAGCGTGACAGGGGAAGCGTCGAAGGCGCCGCCATGGGGTTGAAGTGCAGCGCCGATCCACAAAACACGCACGCCGACCTCCGAAAGTGTACTGCAGGTTCGTGTCGTGGCGACTCAGGCGGTGTTTTCTGAGCAGGCCATCCAATCAAACTAACACGCGCGAGCTTCCAACGGTACAAACAGTTCAGTACTGGCCGAGCTCAGTCAGCTGGTGAAGCTCAACGGGGGTACGCCCGCGCTGGCTTCGCGGCCGCGTCGGCGAGCCGCGAAACTGCCATCTCCTTGTGTGTTGTTGAATGTTCCTCGCCTTAGACAGCTTCTGCTATCGCCGGAACGGAACTGCGCAGACGCCCAGGTTCCCGGTGCCCACGCGAGACGCCCGCTGTGGACCCAGCCCCCGGTGCACTCGAATTAGGTTCGCCCGCTGTTTCCGCGCGATATCACGAATTACCAACTTCCTGCCCCCAGCTTCGCTGCACGCGTTCGCGGGCGGCGGGGGGGAAAGTTGGGTGATGCTGGGTGGTCATCTTCCTGCTCCTCCCCGTCCCCCTCCTTTTGCTTCTCCTGCTCTTATTCCACCTCGTTTTCCTCTTCCTCCCCCTTCTCCTTCTCCACCCCCTTCGTTTCCACCTTCTCCTTTTCGTTTTCCTCCTCATCCTTCTCTTCCGTTCCCTTTTCCCCTTTCCTCCTCCTCATCCTTTTCCACATCCTCCTCGTACCCTCCTGCCCCTCCTCATCTGCCTCCCCTTTTGCCTCTCCCTCTCCTCCTCGGTTGCCGCGGGAGGCTCATCCGCCTCCTCCTCACCCTCCTGCTGTTCCTCCCCCATCGCCGCCCATTGCGTCCATTTCTGTTGTCGGCGTTCGCTCGCTTGCGGGGGGTGGTCCAGGAGAGTTTGAGAGTTTCCGCTGATCAGCTCCAAACAGCTCTTGGCTCCAGTATAGGACGCAGCACAACATGAAGAAACGTTCGGATGAGGATGGGCATCGAGACTTGTTGGGGCTCGGCGGTTCTGGAGGACGTGTCCAGCGCAGCGGCTATCCAGAGCGCTTCGGCACGCTTCGTGAAACCTTCCTGGGCGCTCTGTAGCGATGTATCCGCTTCTTCGGCCTGCCTGGTTCACAACCACCGCAGGCCGCCAACAATGGCGACCTATCGCACGCGCTGGGAACGATAGGTGTCGAACGATAACAAACCTGCAACAGACGAAGAACCACGCGAATCCCATAATTACGTGCGCGCGTGAAACCAAACGCATGACGGAAAAGTAACCGGGACGTCGCGCGAATGCGGCCGACATCCTAGCCGAAGGGAACTCGAGTAGAAGGGGCAACAGGAGGAGAGGAAGTGGGCAACCTGGCTCGAATCCACCCAGATCTTGGCCCAGGCAGGACAGGTGGGAAAAGAAACGAGGACCATGACCGAAACAACACGCGGAAACGTCGGGGCAAATCCAGGCCATCCTCCACACTGGCCATCGCCAACAGTGTGGATCATCCTCGCGAACGGCGGATCTTGGTCATCGTGGACCATCTTGGTCATCGTCGATTCTCTCTTCCTCGAAGGACGTCGACGCCCAGCGCCTCGGGCGGGAGGGGGCGGACACGCGCGCATCCCGGGGCAACGGGGGGGGGGAAAGGGCATCAGAGGACCAGAGTGCACATGCCCTGTCTATGGGGGTGGCCCGTCCTTCCCTCGTCCTCCTCCTCCTCCTCCTCGTCCTCCTCCTCCTCCTCCTCAACTCCTCCTCTTGCTCGTCCTCCTTCTCCCAATCCCTGACCTTCTCCAGCCTCCATCCATCCTCCATCCTCGTTTTCCTTCCGACCTGACGCCGGGAGACGAAGGGCCACGAGAGACTCCGTCTTCCGCCTCCTCCTCCTCCCCTCCTCCTCCTCCTCCCCTCCTCCTCCCCCCCTCCCCTCCCCACCTCCCCGACGCCCTTTTCCCCCTCCCCTCCTCCTCCTCCTCCTCCTCCTCGTCGTCCAGGGCCGCGAAGGGGGGGGAGCAGCAGTGGAGCAAAGTGCACGTGCCCTGTTTACGGGGGGTGGCCCGCCTTTCCCACCCTCCTCGTCATCGTCCTCGTGCTCTTCTTCGTCCTCGTCCTCGTGTTCCTCCTCCTGCTCCTCCTCCTGCTCCGCCTCCTCCTCCTCCTCCTCCTCCTCCTCCTCCTCCCTGCAAGCTCCAGGGGTCTCTAGCCGCAAGGGTGTTTTTCTTTCAAAGTTGGTCCCCAGGAAATCTCGATACTTCACCATGAATGTTCTTTGTTAACCGAGACGTTGTTCACGTGCCTGGGGCCCGACGAGAGACCCCAGAGGTCGAACACCGAGGAACAGCCATACTGTTTTTTTTGCGTGCGTCGGTGGTCTGGGCCTCACCTGCTGTCACCGCCATGCCCCTACTCGGGCAACGGCTCGGCCCCAGGCTGGACATCGGTGCGGCGACAGACCGTGCGGTGAGCCCAACCATCCCCCCAGCAAAAACAACTCACCGCACGGTCCGCCACCGCACGGTCTTGGGGACCTCGGATGCCCGGGCCGCCTGGACATCCTCGCAGAACGACCCGCGCCCCGAGACCGTGCGGTCACCCCGAAAGATTGGCTCCCGGGCCTGGGCGCGAGTCTCCGTCGCCCGTCCGGGCAGATCTGGGCACCCCCCGAACGCTCCTGTCGAGGCGCAGCTGCTGGCACGCACCCCGGGGCGGGAGAACCCCGAGACCCGACGACAGCGCCCGAAAGCTCCGACTCCCGACGGCGTGGTCACCCCACCGACTCCCCCAGCGCCGCAGGGCCGTGGAGCAAGCAAACAAACAAAGGCACGGGCGTTGTTTGTTGTGAAGCTTCGGCCTCCTGGGGCCTTCGCTGGGGCCCAAGACCACCAAAAAAGAATCGCGACGAAAAAAACGTCCCTGGGAGAAGGGTCGGGACTTCTGGGGACCCCGTACTGGACAAACATTAAACATCGCATGTATGAGTCTCTCCTACCTCCCTGCTCCCTGCTACAGCCACCGTGGTGACAGATCGCAATGGGAAAGCATGAGTAGGAAGAGGAATAAAGGGAGCAGGAAGTGGGCAACGGTCGCAGCAAACGCATTACCACCAATATCTCGGCACGAACACCTCGCATATGGAGCGGCAGAGACAATTCAAGGAGACGGCGGAGGAATACAAGGAGACGGAGGAGGAGGAGGAGGAGGAGGAGGAGACGAATGAGGAGGAGGAGGAGGAGACGAAGGAGGAGGAGGACGAGATGATGATGATGCTGATGATGATGATGCTGATGAGGATGATGATGATGCTGATGATGATGAGGATGACCACCATCATCGCGCAACGAGAACCAACAACTGAATTAGGAGCGAGTGTGTTTTGATTCTGGCCACGGCGAGGCTCGGCCGCGAGCGGGCTCTCCCCGATCTGGAGCCGAGGAGCGGCCAGCAAAACATGAGGCCCTCCCGAAGTCGAGCTGTAATATCCGGCTTGACCCAAGGAACGATACATAAGAAACGAAGCCCCGTTGTTCCAAGTAGTTCTAGCAGTCCGAAGGAACACGAGGGGGGCTCGCCGCCAAAAAAGGTAGCGGAACGCATGCAAACCAAAAGAACCACGGAACCCATTCACGACGGACCCTGTAATCCTGATTCTGGCACGTTGACTGCACCTCCCCCCCGCGAGCACGAACGACCGCAACCACTTCGGGCCGATCGTAAACCACCCCGGACAGATCGCAACCAGTTGCTATCGGTCCGAGGTGGTTGCGGTGTTTTGGGGTCGTTTCAATAAAGTTTTGATTAAGGAAGAGATCACAAGAGCGCTTCTGGGTTCAATGAGTTCCCTTAGACCACCCAATGGTAATTTGAAAAAGCGGTTGCGATCGGTCCGATCACAGACGGCCGATCATGATCGCGGCTAAACACATGTATTGGAGCTCGAACGTGGCCATGGTCTGTATGCGATTCCTATGTGATTCGAATACGGTTGAAACCGAAACTGAGCGAAAACGCGTGGCGTGAAACGAATTGCATCTCAGGAGGGGGAAGAGGAGGAAGAGGAGCAGGAGGAGGAGGAGGAGGAGGAGGAGGAGGAGGATTCTCCCGCATCGGCGCAAGCGAGCAGTCTCCGGGCGGCGGCCGCGGCGCGCGTGCGCGAGGGGGCCCGAAAGTGTGCGGGCCCGCCCAGCGCGCGCGGGCCGTGCGGCACCGCTCTCAGACGGTGAGCTCCGTCTGGCCGCCGAGGAGATCGGCGGAGCAGCGCCGCAGGTCAGCCTTGTGAAAGGAGGGGGGGAGAGGTGGGGGGCCGAGAAGCTGCAGAGACTGCTAGGGCGCGAGAGGCTGGAGAATAAGAGCGTGCATTCTCCCGCATCGGCGCAAGCGAGCAGTCTCCGGGCGGCGGCCGCGGCGCGCGTGCGCGAGGGGGCCCGAAAGTGTGCGGGCCCGCCCAGCGCGCGCGGGCCGTGCGGCACCGCTCTCAGACGGTGAGCTCCGTCTGGCCGCCGAGGAGATCGGCGGAGCAGCCATACCCAGGCTCAAAGCCCTTGCGAAGTGACAAGGTTTCGGCGGGCGGCCGCAGGGTGAAAGTGGGGCCACGCAGTAGGGCCGGCATTCAGTAAGGCAGCGACAAGAGAGGCGACCTGAGCACAAAGGGGGGGCTCAGGGAGGGGCGGACGGCTAGAAGAGCCGAGCAGGCCGTATTGACACGCGGTGCGCCAACCGCCGAAAGCAAATGGATTCACCGAGTACGGAAGCCGCACTGCCCGAAGGGTGGGAGCGGATCGGTGAGACCCAACAGCTTAAAATTTCTGCCATGGCAAACGCAGCGTTGCCGGCTGAAGCGATTCTCCGCTACTACCGCCCTCAGCCGTCGCCCACATAGCGCGTGAGAGTTAGTGCTGCTGGCGGTAGTGCTGGCGCCAATGCTAGTGTCGGTGCTGGCGTAGACGCCCGCGCCGTAGCCGGCATAGGCGCAGGCGCCGGTGCAGCCGCAGCCAATGTTGGCATTGGTGCAGGCGACGGTGCTGGCCTCAGTGCTGGCATAGGCGCTGGCGCTGGTGCTGGCGTAGGCGAAGGCGCTGGTGCTGTCGCCGACAGTGCTGGCGTTAGTGCTGGCGTCGGTGCTGGCGTAGGCGCTGCCGTAGGCGCTGGTGCTGGTGCCGGCGCAGGCGCAGGCGTCGGCGCTGCAGCCGCCACTGCTGGCGGTAGTGCTGGCGACAGTGCTGACGTCGGTGCTGGCGTAGGCGTTGGCGCTGGTGCCAGCGTAGGCGCAGGCGCCGGTACTGCCGCCGTCAGTGCTGGCGTTAGTGCTGGCGTCGAAGCTGGCCTCGGTGCTGGCGTAGGCGCTGGCGCTGGTGCTGGCGTAGGTGCAGGCGTCGGTGCAACCGCCTTCAGTGCTGTCGGTAGTGATGGCGTCGGCGCTGGCGTAGGCGCTGGCGCTGGTGCCGGCGTAGGCGCAAGCGTCGGTGCGGCCGCCGTCAGTGCTGGCGTTAATGCTGGCGCCGGTGCTGGCCTTGGTGCTGGCTGAAGCGCTGGCGCTGGTGCCAGCGAAGGCGCAGGCGTCGGTGCTGCCACCGTCATTGCTGGCGTTAGTGCTGGCGTCGGTGCTGGCCTCGGTGCTGGCGTAGGCGCTGGCGCTGGTGACGACGTAGGCGCAGGCGTCGGCGCTGCCGCCGTCAGTGCTGGCGTGAGTGCTGGCGTCGGCGCTAGCCTCGGTGCTAGCGTAGGCGTTGGCGCTGGTGCCGGCGTAGGCGCAGTCGCCGGTGCTGCCGCCGACGGTGCTGGCGTTGGTACTGGCGCCGGTGCTGGCCTCGGTGCTGGCGCTGGCGCTGGCGCTGGTGCTGGCGTAGGCGCAGGCGTCGGTGCTGCCGCCGTAAGTGCTGGCGTTGGTGCTGGCGCCGGTGCTGCCCGTGGTGCGGGCGTAAGCGCTGGCGCTGGTGCCCGCGTAGGCGCAGGGGTCGGTGCAACCGCCACCAGTGCTAGCGTGAGTGCTGGCGCCGGCGCTGGCCTAGGGCTGGCGTAGGCGCTGGCGCTGGTGCCGGCGTAGGCGCAGGCGCCGGCGCTGCAGCTGTCAGTGCTGACGTTAATGCTGGCGTCGGTGCTGGCCTCGGTGCTGGCTGAAGCGCTGGCGCTGGTGCCGGCGTAGGCGCAAGCGTCGGTGCGGCCACCGTCAGTGCTGGCGTTAGTGCAGGCGTCGGTGCTGGCCCCAGTGCTGGCCTAAGTGCTGGCGCTGGTGCCGGCGTAGGCGCAGGCGCGCAGGCGTCGGTGCAACCGTCGCCAGTGCTGGCGTGAGTGCTGGCGCCGTGCTGGCCTTGGTGCTGGCGTAGGCGCTGGCGATGGTGCCGGCGTAGGCGCAGGCGCCGGCGCTGCAGCGTGCGGCCGCCGCCAGGGCTGGCGTTAGTGCTGGCGTCGGTGCTGGCCTTGGTGCTGGCTGAAGCGCTGGCGCTGGTGCTGGCGTAGGCACAGGCGTCGGTGCCGCCCCCGTCAGTGCTGGCGTTAATGCTGGCGTCGGTGCTGGCCCCGGTGCTGGCCTAGGTGCTGGCGCTGGTGCCGGCGTAGGCGCGGGCTCCGCACCTGCCGCCGTCAGTGCTGTCCAGC